TGGTGACAGCTCCTCCCTTCCACTGGTTGTGCGCCCCCCTTTTAGTCCTCAGGCATTGCTGAATGCCCTTGCTGAGCCAAGGGGGGTTCTGAGCGCTCTTACTCCCCTTGCTTCTCTCAGGGACTGTTATCCTTTGGGCCTGGAGGACTGTCCCCTTAAGGTACAACCATCCCTCATGGACTCCCATCTCCTTTACCTTCTGGGCCCTCGGTGCCTCCCCCACTAATCTCCAAAGCTCATTGAAGTTGGCCCTTCTGAAGTCAAGGGCTTTAGTCTTGCTGTAAGCCCTTGACACCCTGCACTGGATAGTGAATTCCAGCAGGTGATGATCGCTATTGCCCAGGTGGTCAAGGACCTGCAGTCCCCTCACCAGGTCATCCCCAGTGGCCAAGGCCAGGTCCAGCAAGGCATTACCCCTATTTCATACTCCCAGCTAACATAGCCAGTGGACAAAAACTTCTCTTAAACTCCTAGGGATTGCATTTTAGAAGTCTTTGCCTATCGATTCTTTGCTTAAGCCACATAGTACCCCTGAACTTAAGTAGTTTCTTGAACTATGTCAAGCTAGATTCCCCAAGGGTAAAAATCTGCAAAGTCCATAGGCAGTAACTATGACTGGCGAGCATCCCCTAGTGGCTGTAAAAAAAAAAATATAGCAAGGCAAGCTTAACAAATGAGAAGCAATGGCAGGGGAACTCCATGTTATAGGTTGAATATTTCTCGGAACAGAAAATCAAAGCATTTGCACTTAATGCTTGCTTTGTATTGATTCCAGAGGGTAGAGAGAACCACAGAATGCAAGGGTGGGGGACGACTGGGAGGCATCAAACTCTAGGCTCCTTATTGATTTTTAGGGATGAGATCAGAATAAATTCAGGATTCCCAACTCCTTGGATTTTGTGCATCTCATATTCAGTCTTTTCTTCCTTAAAGGCTTAAAGCCACAACTGCGGTGTCTGAGAGTTTGCATGAGGATCTCTGGTGGGAGGGAGGTGGGTGTTTTTAGCATCCTTAATTGCAAAGGAAAGCCTAGAAGTATTGAATGAGTATAATCTGAAGGCAAATAAATAAAACCCAAAATCTCTCTCTCCCCTTTCTTTAGCTGAATGATTTCTTTTGTGCCCTGTCTCCTGATTGTTTAACACTTGGTGTTAGCAATACTGCAAATTCTTCTACAGCCCACTCTTTGGTTAGAAAGCTCTGGCAAAAATGCTTTAGAGAGCATCAGGAAAAAAGGATGGGAGGAAGATATTCTTTCTAAATACATGCAGAATGCTTCAAACTGAGATCAGTCCCACTTTAAGGCTATGGCTAACTCTCATTCTGATTTGTGTGTGTGTAGGGTATCCCCAAAACATGCTGGCAGGAGACTTCAGAGAGGAAACACAACTGCAAAATGTCTCTCTCGTATCACTCCCCACAATGCATTTTCTTACCAAGGAAGTCACCCACATATTTGCTTAAATAACAGGCTTCCAACAGTTTACCCTTGGGTTAGGCATGGTTCAAGCA